TTTTTAAGTGACAACCCAGACATTTCATTACACCACCCGAATAACCCCACGCACTACCCGCTTAACAGACTGAACCCCTCAACGATAGATATCGCTCTCTCGAGGGGATTCAGAGACTTGACTATCAAAACTAAAAATATTTATAACTCGGACCACATACCGCTCTTCCTGTACTGGAAAAACCTTCCAGTGCAGGAACCGCAAAAAATACATAGCTACAAAAACTTCAACTGGACACGCTACAAGCAACTTCTAAACGACATTACAACAATCCCCGACCCCATAACTACCATCCCCGAACTTGAGCGGCAAGTAAAACTTATTACAAACAACATCACGCAAGTCAGAGATCAGCTAGCTCCAAAAATCAGCCCCAAAGCATGGACGGACATCATTCCAGACTTCGTTGTTGCTCTCATCAAGGAGAGGGATAGGGTCAAGCGCGCTTGGCAAAGGCGTCCAAACCTACTAGACAAACAGCTACTGAACTTACTCAGCCGGGAGATAGAGGGGAGCATACGTCAACACAGGAACACGTCCTGGATGAGGTATGTCTCCTCTCTGGAGACCCAAGACAACTCCCTGTGGAAGCTGGCCAAAAATCTTCGAAGATCAGGCACGACACAATCGGACCTGGTAGTCGATGGTGTCAGTTACTACAGGGATCAGGACAAAGCGAACGTTTTCGCAGACCACTTCGCTAGGGTTTATAGCGAAACACCCGACGCAACTATTACACACACAAACATTAACGACATCGCCGACGCCTTTGTCAGGCGCTAATACCCAATCCCCCCGGGAGTTCACCAGCGGATGCTGGTCACACCATCTGAGCTAGCTGACACTGAAAAGACTAAAAAACAGAAAAGCACCCGGACCTGACACTATCACCAACCAAATGGTCAAAAACCTCCCCCGAAAGACTATTGTGCATCTCCTGCAAATCATTAACGCAATCTTGACTCTCCAGCACTTTCCACAACCCTGGAAGCAGGCGAGCATAATAGTCTTCCCAAAACCTGGCAAAAACCTAACACAACCACAGTCCTTCAGACCAATTTCATTATTAAACTCCCTAAGCAAAATTGCCGAAAAAATTATTTCACGTAGACTTTCCGCTGTAATTGACTCACTGAACTGCCTTCCCGACGAACAATACGGATTCCGCCCTCAGCATAACACGACTCTAGTAGTAGCGAGGGTAGCTCAGGACGCCTCACTTGCATTCAATAACCGAGAGAGCACCTTCCTACTGCTACTCGACATAGAGAAGGCCTTTGACAAGGTATGGCACAAGGGCCTTATCTACAAACTACTGACTGTACATAACTTACCTCTCCACCTGATTTCTTTAATTGCCTCTTACACCAAGAACATTCAACATCAAATTTCAAAGCTCGCTATCCCCAACCAAAGCAATTCGGGCCGGAGTGCCCCAGGGCACAGTTCTCTCACCCACCCTGTTCAATTTATACATCGCCGACATACCCAAAACCAATGACACAAAAGTCATGATGTATGCCGACGATACCGCCATCTACACCAGTGCCTTTCTTGCAGAAGACGCGAGAAGGGCGCTGGAACGCCACATTAACCTCATCACTCCCTATCTTCAGACCTGGAAAATCATCCTCAACACCCCCAAAACAGAACTTCTTACGCTTACCAGGAAGCGTACGAACATCATCATGAACCCCCCTCTGACGATTAACAACGTCGTAATAGAACCCAAACTCACCGCCAAGCACCTGGGAATAGTCCTTGATAAGACAGACCCTCAAGGGCCTCCCCCAGGTAACTCACACCCTCAGAAAGGCACAGATCGCCGAGCATCTTCTATCTCCCATCATGAAGACCAATTCTTTTCTGAGCCCAAAAAATAAAATCAGCGTATACAAGACCATAATACGTCCTACTCTACTCTACGGAGCACCTGCTTGGAGCTTTATATCCAACACACAGAAGAAAAGGCTCCAAGTATTCCAAAATAAAATTCTTAAGAACGCCCTTTCACTGCCAATGGACGCCCGAACGATAGAAGTACATCGACTTGCCGGTATAAACACCATCATCGAATACTTCAATGAAGTCTCAATCAAATTCTTCAATCGTTCCACATACGGACCCACCCTTACCCGAAACCTGGCCACCCTCAAGTTCGACTCACACAACCCCGTAAAACACCGACCCATACACCATAGGTTGCCAATTTATTTCGAGCCGCCTTGAATCCGGCGAACGGAATGTAATTAAATTAGAATCTACAACTAGAATAGTTAACTATGATCGACAACTCAATTGGAGCACCGGGGTATCACCCACGGACACGCCCACCTAATTTAGTTACAGACCGAGGCCAGCCGGTACTAGCGCAAGCTTAAAAATTAACACCAAAGAAACGTGAAGGAGGGTTTTTCTCAATTTTTCCCTTCATAAATATCTTGGCAACTATGGAATGACTACTGGACACTTTAATCCACGAACACGACATAAAGTCAAGACTGTGAATTGACCTATAAGGAGCAACATTGATTGTCACAGAAAAGAGTCAAACCGGACTGGTTGTCACTGCCACGCCTACTGTATTCCTACTTAATTCGGGCCACAAACATCGGCCGTGCCCCTCTGGTGCACATAGAATTAAGTACTTATGATTATAGTAGATTAAGGTAGTTTTAAATTAATGTAATAATGGAAATAAAGACTAAATGCAAATGCAAATCAAGGCTTATTCGAATGTTGACCTCACTTTTTTATTAATTTACATTTATTGGTTTGTTCAGATTTAGTTCAGAATCAATTCTGAACTGAACTGCGCTTGCGCATTGGTTTACATATGTTCGATATGAATAAATGCGCAAGCGCAGTTCAATTCAGAACTGATTTTAAACGAAGTCCGACCAAACCTATTTCTTCAATTTCCAGTAACAGGTTAGTGGCTTCTTAGCGGTGTTCGGTATTGTGTTTTTATAGGTTTTTTCACCGATTTGCCTGTTCTGTTGATTGCATGTGTTGGATTTTTTCATTAGAATGGGCTCTTATGAAGTGAAAGACAGTTTAAAGTCACAAATACTTCGTTTCAATGACCACGGGGCCCCGCCTTTCATCATTCTCGTCCCTTGAAATATGGTCTAGAATGACGTATCCCACATTGTCATCATCCCCATTGCCATCATCCCCTAATAATACGGCCTCCAATATCTTCCATTATAAAATATAGATGAAATAACAAAACAAATTCAACAAAAAACTACAAGAAGAACCACTTAAAGAACACCAAACACGTATTTACATTTTGCAATTTTAGGTTAGGAATATGAAAATAAAACATGACATGCCACTGCCAAAGTTCACCACTGCCGACGTCAACGTGTCGTTCAATAATTCCTTTTGTGAGCCAAAATAGCGCTCGCCACAGTCAATTTTGGGTGACATTAATTGGATTCCTTAGAAATAGATTCCATATTTGGAAATAATTAATTAATAAATAAATGGAATTTTTATACCTTTTATATGACGTTTTTTTTTCCTTTTTTGCCAGTGTTTGAGAGAAAATGCATTGTGAAATAAATATTTTGATTGGGTAATGATAATATTGTTTCCCAATCCAACCAAACCCATAAATCCCCCAATCCCCTATACTCCCTACAGTCCCTACAATATTATAACAATATCGTAATGCGTGTCTTTGTTGCACGTATGAAGAAAGCTGTGGTGTTAACTCTCTCTGACACACTGATTCGCTGCACCGCGTCCTAAGATCGCGCTCACCGGCAATGCCGAGAGTTGAGACGCGGCAATTCAATTTTCTTCGGTATTTAAATAAATTTAGAAAAAAAAACTTTTTGATCACAAGCTTTTATAAAATGGACTAAAAAGCATAAAATAATTTTTTGAGTGTTCTGATATCATAATAATAAAAGCGATGGGCGTATTAGAGGAAATTTACCCGTTTTTTTTTAGCCTTGTTAACTCGAGGTTTAGTGAAAAATGAAAATCTAAATTCATTATATTATAGCAGAGAAATGTAAGGGTAGACAATTTAACCCAACCCAACCCAACCCAACCCTACTCAAGCTACCCTTACATTTTTCTGATATGGATGGACATTATTACGCCTGCTTCATATTAGACAGATCATACGCGACCGGCAGTGTGTCGATTTATTTTGTCACATTGAAAAAGAAGACTCGGCCCAACATCGGTTGTGGACGATCCACCAAATGCGCATGGAAAGGCATTTTCCTAATATTAAATACGCCCATCGTTTTTATTATTATGATATCAGAACACTCAAAAAATTATTTTTTCTACTGACGTTTCATAATAGCAACTTTTCGATTGTCATTTCAGTTTTGAAACGACATTCTTTTAGGCACTGAGTGCGTGAAAGTTACTTTTAGGCACTCAGTGCGTAAAAGTGACTTTTGAATGCGTAAAAGTGACTTATGAGTGCGTAAAAGTAATTTTTCAGCACTAGTGCCTAAAAGTGTCAATCATTATTCAGAAATAAAAAACAACACTAAACACATATTTGAATTTTGTTTTGTATTTATTATGAATATTGAAAATGGAATTACTGAATTGAACGTTTGGGTTACTCAAAACAGAACTTTGTTTTATTACCTACTTTCTAGGATTTTAAATATTGATGCCGAATTTTGAAAAGAAAATCGCATGAAAAGTGTCAGGTGTCAAGTAAAAGCAGGTGACAAAGATTTTGGGTGTAATCGACTTATTCACATGAAATAAAATTGTGTTTTTTTTATTATAAAATGCCAGTAGAAAAAATCTTGTATACAATACGTTACGAAACGATGTCTTTTAGTCACTCGACGTGTTTTCCAACTCGGCTTTGCCTCGTTGGACAATTTTCACGTCGCGTGCCTAAAAGACGCTCATTTCGTAACTTATTGTATAAATAGCTATTATGCTTTTTAGTCCATTTTGTAAAAGCTTGTTTTTAAAAAGTTTTTTTTTCTAAATTTATTTTTTAATTTTTAGATTTGTCTAAGTCTATGCATTTCAGCTAGCGCATCGATATTGCAGGGAGTCTTTCCTGTCAATTTTGAAATATCTAAGTCTTCGATGAGAAGGCCGTCCAACGATTTGATACGGCTCAAGGCGGCATAAGCTTGACCAAGAGCAAAAAGCTTAGGTCTCAAGTAAATCACAGCATAGTCAACAGTACTACCCTGCATTTTATGAACAGTAGATGCCCAGCATAACACTATAGGTAACATTCTTCGCTCGGCTGTACCATAACTGTATTTGGCAGGAAATTGCACAGATTTTGGCTGAATCATATGAATGCCGTCATTACCAAAGTCTATTTCCACTGAAGGTATATCATTGTCGTAAATCTGTGCTCGCCGAAAGCATGGCCAGATGATTTATCGTCCATTTTGAATCCGCCATATTGAATTTTTGTAATCTGATCAAAAATTCGTAATCCTCATCCTCAAAAACCCCCAGATACCAATTTTGGTGGAAATCCGAGAAACTAAAATTTTACCCCCTCCCGCCCTCCACGTTAGGGGGGAGGTAGGCAGTCAGTGATACCACATTATTGGATTGTCATCGGAACTATAACGGTATGCGAAATTTGAAGTCAATCGGATACGTGGAAGTCAGTTGAAAGTATAATCAGAAAAACTTGACATTAAATCGTCCATTTTGAATCCGCCATATTGAATTTTTGAACTCTGATCAGAAGTTCGTAATTCTCATCCTCAAAAACCCCCAGATACCAGTTTTGGTTGAAATCGGACAAACTAAAGTTTTACCCCTTCTCCAACCCCCACGTTAGGGGGGAGGTAAGTAGCCGATGAAACCATATTATTGTATTGTCATCGGAACTAAGACGCTATGCGAAATTTGAAGTAAATCGGATGTTTGGAAGTTCTTCAAAAATAAGTTGCAAGATTTGATTACATACATACCCACATACATACATACATACATACAGGTGAAGTTAAATAAAAGCTTGTAAAAAGAATACAGCCCATACTAAACGTCGTATGGAAAAAAAGTTTTTGTAAAAAAGTTTCTTTACTCCATTGGCAACATTTTTCTCGCTTATACTTGGTATCTATCTCTAAAGATAAAAAAGTTTTCTCGACTCACCATTTAACGCTGCAAAATGACGATATTTTGTGTCATCTGGCGAAAAAAAAATTACGTAGCTTTTATGTGACGTTCTATGTTTTTTATTGTTATGAAACTATGTCAGGGAAGTACTGATGAAAAATATCATATCCAAAATTCATAACAATCGGACATCAATTAACAAAGTTATGCACTAGTTTTAAAAAAAATTATTTCAATGGAAATTTTCAGTTTTTTCAAAAATGTCATGTTTTGACACATTTCGCAATTCCGGATCAAAGGGCGAACAAGAAATTCGAATCCGGCAGGTCATTTTACATAGGATTTCATGTTTTTTAGGTGGATGTTCGCGACTTGTATAGAGGTGGTCGAATTCAGCACCTCAATTTCCCGACTATCTTATATCTCCCCGAATTTGGCACTCATTAGGCTCATAATTTTATCTCTGCGGCTGTACTGGTGCACACGGTGTCCACATTTATAGGCTCAAATTTCAATAAGTACTATTAGGGATTCTTCTAGAAAAAAATCTGATAGCAAATTCTTGTTTAGAATGCATTCTAAAACCCAAATGAATGCATTCTAAAACCCAAATGCACTAATTTTTGTTTCAATACGATAGAGGGTGATTACAACAAATTTTCAAAATTTATTGGACCAAGCCGTAAAAATGTCACATTTTGAGGCCTTGAGAACAACAAAAACTTGATACAACATAGTTTTAGAATATCCTTAACCAAAACTTGTAGTAAGCTTATATCAAAATATGACATTAAATTTTGAAAATTTGTTATGATCACCCTGTATCATATTAAAACAAAAATTAGTACATTTGGGTTTTAGGCCATTCTAAACAAGAATTTCATATCAGATTTTTTTCAAAAAAATTCCCTAATAGTTAATATTGAAATTAGAACCTATAAATGTGGACACACTGTACACCAGTATAGCCGCAGAACTAAAATTATAAGCCTAATAAGTGCCAAATTCAAGTAGATTTAAGACAAAAAAAAAATTCATTGGATTGGTTAAAAAATAAAAATTTTAGAAGGGTGCTCAGTTCTCGCCACTGACGTTCTCGCTCACCGAAATAACGTGGCTTATGAAGTGGCGTGTGATCTAGCAAGTGGCATACCCCTTATTACGTGCCACTAAATGCATGTTACTTGCCTTGTCACTTCAGTGGGCTCTTGCTTATTTGTTTATGTTCGCTTGATTTGATGTATCATGCTAGATGTGTGCTACTTGCTAGATCGCACGCCACATCATAAGCCACGCTATTTCGGTGGGCGCCCTGCCTTAGAAAACATAACACGAGTAGCATACAATGTTTTATCCAACAACTGAGAAATCATAACACGAGCAGCATACAAGAACTGAAAAAACTAACAGGTATGGTTGTGGGTTATAGTTTATAACACACTAGTGTGTTATTTGATAGTTTACCGTTCTAAATTGGCACAAATAATGACTCTTATAACCAGCAGGTGTTGGATAAAAAATGTCTTTTTATTTACACCAATAAAAATGAACAAAGTTGAAATATAAACAATATACAATTCGTTTATTGCATATAGAAATACATACTATGACATCGCACAGTGTTGCACACGATGGACAAAATTTAAAAATGTGTATCTATTTTTGGATAATCAAATATGACATCTGTAAAGGAATGCCTGTTGATGATAAGTATATTATTGTGAACGTTTTTTGTTCACGAATTTTCGAAAAACAGAAATGAACAAAACGAAAAAGAATTTGGTGCATCTGTTGGAAGGTCAGTATAAAATTAAATTTTGAAAGTGCATTATATTGTTTTGGGGTGATTATTTTTTTAACATATTAAGAGGGTTATGGACAATATTTTAGAGGGTAAGTAATCAGTTACACTATTATTCTATTGCAGATAATTAATTAAAATATCTAAAATATTTTTATAAAATTTCAACTCAGAATTTAAAAAATATATAGAATTATAGTCCTAAAATTTTTGATTTTAAATTCTGCAAACCCTTTACTTTACAGTGACAGTTATTATTTTTTGCGAATTTTCGCGATTTTTTTTATTTTTAGACCAAACCGTTGCTATTTCTAATACCAATAATGGGAAACTTGCGGCAAGAATCAAAAACCTTTAATGGTAGTGGGTACAATTCAAGTTTACTTAAAACTAGAAAATTGTTCTGCTAATAAATAAATAAATGCTAATAAATAAACGTTATAATATTTCTTTGTGTTTCACCCTGTACAATAGGAACTACTTTATTTTGTTCAAATATTCCATATTTGAAATTGAAGAAGTAGTTCATGACTCAAAGTGGAGTTGAAATTTAATTTTTAAAGAAAAACACCAAGTCTTCCTCCATAAATAAACTTTAATTATTTTATAGAACCCTACATGTTTCGGAACTCGAGAGTTCCATCATCAGGGGCAAGTATGCTCAGAATAAGTGCTCTTAAAACATCATCATTTGATACATTTTAGATGAGGTCACTGGATTAGCTGTAAAGAAAAGCCCACTTCAGAGATTTTGCAGATACAGGAGATGATAGAAAATATAGTCCAAAAAGTATAAAATTAGAAAAACTTACCAATCGGTGGAGGAAAATCAAAAAAGACGTCGAAAATTTAAAAGAAAAAACACATTAAAATACAGAAAAAATTTAAAAATAAAACGTATACTGAATAAAACTATTTAGGAACATGTAATAAGGAACTTTAATTTGTTTTTATTTTCAGTCTTATTTTAAATTTAGATTTATGGAGAGGCATGATGTAAGGGCTAGGGCTCTCCACAAAATGGTAGTCGGTGACTTTGCAAAACTGCAACGGATTAGATTGATAAAAATTCAAATTCAAAAAAAAAAAAAAAACGTTAAATCAAATTCTTGAAGCCAACCAAGTTCTACAGTGCAAAGTTCAATATCGTAGCGACATCCAGCGCCATGCCTTAACGATCAGATTCACCACGGCTCTACAACCTTTTTTTAACTCTTTAAATTTTCAAATCTTTCAACATTAACTCTCGGGCAGGCGCGCTATCGGCTTTTTATGCCGCCTTTTTACTAATTCAAGGATTCCGCAAATATTGTGGATTTTATCATATTGTCCGTCTAGCTATGTTCAAATGACTATATCAGGAAATCTACTACTCACAATTTACGACCCTAGAGCGTTTGTTCAGATGTCAGTGAGTTCTTGAACTTCTTGAACTTGCAGATGTTGAATTTTCGCCATTCCGTGCCGCCAGCGCGCCTGGTCATGTAAGTAATATTACAAGGGGAATAGTACAAATATTATGAATATTATTTTTGTGTTTTTGCGAAATTAGTGTAAAGGATTTCATTTAGTTGCCTAAAATTACAATTTATTCTATTTTTTTATACTCTATTCAAAAATAAATTTTGATGTTTTTAATTTTTTGTTTTCTGCTGGCGGCACGCAGTGCTGCAACGCGCCCGCTCATGTGATTTTCAAATGCACGCCTGCCCTAGGGTTAAGTTTGTATAATGTTTCTACTCGATGTGAGTTATAATAATAGGTATTTATATTTATAATTACTTGATTCATGAGTTAGGGTGTTCTGCTGTTTTCTGTTCATTGTTCTATCTGCATTTCCCTTTTTCTTCTCTTATATTCGTTTGTTGAAAACCCCTATTTAATTGCTATCTTCAACCCTGATATATATAGAAGTGCAGTTTTATGTACCAAAAGTTGGGTGGTCGCTATAAATTATCGATTCCTTCCATTTTGAATTTTGAGTGACAGAGAAAGACAAATATACAACTATGATGCTCCTAATGTAGCTTTTTTGCCGTGACGCCATCTACTAGAAATTGATTGAACTGTTTTCACCTTCAAAATTTGTTTTAAGGGCATCTCAAAAAATCCGCAATAATTTCCAAAATCCTTTGGCATAAACATTATTTCATATATTATCTACAATCTCTACAATTAGCTTTTTTTAGTTTTTCGTGGTTATCAATAAAATATGCTTTTCACGGATCCAAGCTTGATAAACATGCAAATATGCAACCACCAACACATTTAATTGTTTTGGTGGTTGCGAACATGTTTTTTGAATTTAAAAAAAAGGCTGAGTATCGAAAAACTAAAATAAGGAATTGTAGATAATCGATCAAATAATGTTTATGCCAAATTTGAGCCAATTCTGATGTGTCTTTTTTTTAAAGA